TTAAATGTAATGGAATTAATACATTTAATAGAATGTTTTTTTTTTTAAGTCTAGATTTTTAATCCAAATAAACTTAATATTTCGTGGACTTTAATATGCGGTCTGCAGCAGAACAATAGTCTTAGAACTGGAAAAGCAAAGACTCCAGATCTTGAGACGGCCTAGTCAAAGTCCAGACCTCCGTCTCTCTGCAATGCTGGTAGAATATTCAGAACGCTGTGCAGGAATCTCTGAGAGGAACATCATTCCTCTTACGGGAGGTAAGCCTCCTCAAAAGGAAGTTTAAATATGGAAAACTAGATCGTTACTCATGAGTCATAGATACATTTTCTAGAGTTAAATCCGAGAGGACTTTATTTTTTCAGTAGCTACATGTTTCTGTCAGATTTCTTGGTTTTCCATCATTGTCTGATCGTATGCTGACAGCCCACAGAGGCAGCTTCAGGCTCCCCAGGCTGTGATCTAAAGAGAAAGGAGTCAGACGCTGCTTTAACCGTGACGAGCTCCTTCTGAAGATTCCTGAAAGTCAGATGGAGCGGAGATGAGGAAATGTTCCCACAGCTGCAGTTAGTTCAGAACCGTGGAGACTCTCCCAGAAGTTTGTTTCACGCCGTGTCACATCTAGTGATGTTTAGATGACTCTGATCCAGAGTCTGTGCTTCCAACAGACCCGTATGTGGAGGAAAGACCTCCCAGGTCATGACGGATAGAATGGGTCGGATTTAAAGGTGAAGGTGGTCAGTAATGAAACAATCGACTGTTTTTGGTTCCTCAGGTTTTCTTTTTGTCAGTTTCCCTTCATTCTGTCGACTGTGGTGAAGAAGGCCATCATCCAGAAAGACTCGGAGCAGCAGATGATCAGTCAGGCCAGAGTGAGCATTGAAAATAAAAGCTTTAGTGAGTCTAGAAGGTGAAGTTCTACAGAGAAAACTAACGTCTGTTTGATCTTTACAGCTAAGCCTGGTGAGCAAAGTTTCCAGGAGGCAGAGGGTCGATATGAACCTTCTGTTTCTGAACATCAAAGTTCGACGAGCACAACTCCTCAACGACTCGCTGGATGAGGTATG